TCCTCAACAAAGATCAGGGTAAGACGACAGGACATTCCATACACCAACAAGCTCACATACTTCGGAAGTGTGCTCTGCCAAGAAGGAGGTACTAGTGTAGATGTACAAAGCAGATTGAACAAAGCAAGATATGCCTTTATAAGCTTAAGATCAGTGTGGAGGTCAGCAAGCTACAGCACAAAGACGAAGCTTAGAATTTATCAGGGCTGGCTGCGTATTTTAAGCTCTCCTTTACAGCTCGGAATGCTGGCGAATGACAGAACAAGATCTCTCAAGATTAGCATCCTTCCACACAGCTAGCCTCAGGAAGATTCTGAGAATCTTCTGGCCTCAGAAAGTATCCAACGACCAGCTACTGAGGCAAACCAAGTAGGAGGATATTCATACACTTGTCACCAGGAGATGATAGAGGTGTATCAGACATGTGATGCGGAAGGCCACTAGCAACATAGCCAGAATTGCAAAGCGCTGGACACCTGAGGGCAAACGAAGCAGAGGGCGCCCTAAAACAACTTGGCGCAGGACTGTAAAGAAGGAACTAAGGGAGCTCAATTACAGCTGAAGCACCATTGAGAAACTGGCTAAAGATAGGCAGGCTTGGAAGGATTTCGTTGCTGCCCTATGTGCCACACAGCCATGATGGGCAGTTAGTAAGTAGTAAGTAAAGGGCAAGAAAACATGATGTTCGTCGATTGTTTTCTTACTTCCGAAAACGCTAATGAATAGTTCGTTTTCCGAAACGTTTTTCTCCTGTTTCACAACGCGTCCGAACAAGGCATTTTTAAAGTGTTTTATCTGGGAAATGATAACAATCAACGACCTAAAAACAAGATATGTTCGTCGATCTGATCATTATTTCCTGTTCTTAATCCTTTTCTATGAAAACGCCAGTGGATATCTTGTCTAACATCTAGACAACTGACCCCAATTAGGTCACTTGAGGCAAGTCAGTCATTTGAGCCGTTTGGATCATTTGAGGAAATTGAGCTTAAATATTGGGTCATTTTGGTGGATTAAGTCATTTCAGGCAGCTGGGTCACTCGCACGACGGGTCGAACAGCGACTAACCGAGCGGCGGTAAACGCGGGAAAATGCATCCTTTGCACGAATTCAACGTTCCAGAAAACACCGGAAAATCAATGCTTTCTGGTTAATTCCAGTGAACATAACGTTGGAATACGTTAATCTTTAAATCCTTGAGTTTTTAACTTACAGATTTATCAACTTGAAGTTGGTATGGAAGGCTCCGGGTGCTAGCTCTGCTATCTGATTGTCATGTAAGGACCTGCGTCAAGGATGTGCCAAATATTTAAGGTTTGACCTTAGCTTTAAACCAATCACAACTCCATTGCAGCCCCTATTTTAATTTCAAGTATTGGGAATGATAAATTTCCCAGCCTTCCAACCCTGATTATTGTTGTAGAGATCTCTGCTGAGATAGTAAAGTCGAGAGAGTGCTACGAATGTAACATTTGATCTAGATTTTTAAAACTAATCAGAGCCAGCTTCCAATGAAGTTACAAGGTGCTCTTGTCATGGAACTGCGACCCAATCAATAAGTAGATTATTATTACTAATATTTATGCGGCTATTCACATCAGCATAACTGGTATGATTCTTGTGTTCAGTCGGTCGTTTGTTGAACGTCTTGTCAGTCTAGTTGACAAGGAATCAAGACGATTGGACAAGTGATGTTGTAAATCAGTAATGTCTAAAGCTTGATTTGTTCTAGCTCTAAAATTTTAATTCACAGATTATAGTGACATTGTCATCGCTTTCTATGTCACGCAGATATTGCTAAAGGGATATGGAGTGTCCTATGAAAATAAATAGGCACTGGGTTCAGGGGGCTGAGATCTTCGCACCGGAAAAGAGCGAAACCAAGAAGTGGGGAGAAAAGTTACCCCTGGTGTCAGACTGTGAAAAAAGTACTGCAGTACGTCTACACATTCTTTGTAAGGGTTTATAAAGTCCTTCGAAGTTCGGAGAAACAGTTATTAAATCATCTTGTCGTATGGCCCATTATTTTCAATCCAGGATATACATTCATTGTGTGCAAAAAGTCCAAATCGATTATTATCTCTCATGATTGCTTATGTTAGTGGAAAAACCCCATAAAAAGGTGTTTCGCTGACCATTTTGAAATCATATTTCTGTTAATATATCCTATTTATCCTAAACAATCCTTCAAATTTTTTACCTTATAAATGTTTTACTTACAGTTCAGTCAATTCGGAGTCGTTATTGAAGACTCCAGCTGGTAGCTTCTTGATTTGATTTCCATTTAAGTACCTAAGAAACGGACAAAACTGAACCTAAGAATGCTCCTTAATGGATAATTATGATTCCTACAGTGAGTCTATGTTATTTACCCTTTTGACCATTTTGA